ATTTTTCTTAATCTTCTAAGGATAGTAATTGGACTCCATGGTTCTAGTTTTCATTTTTCTCCTTCATTGGAAAATCATTTCTTCCTCACTGATAAATGTAAAAGGAAAGCTTTTCTTATTTAGATCATATTAAATTAAGTGCATTTTCAGGATAGTTGTGCACCTTTAATTTTTTTAAACTTTCCCACATAGACATCTTTTGACATCTCTTTCACTCATGTATATGTGTATTCACGCACAATGATTTGAAGTAGAGTAAAATTTAGTGACTTAATTCTAGTACCTTACTATTGAGAATATGGGGGGGAATAGTGCTAGTATTGTTATGGACTGAGTGTATGAAACTACAGGTATACCATTGATAAATAGTCTTTCTTTTTACTATACCTCAATATATGCATAATATATATCATCCATATAAATATATATAAATATTTTCCAGGTATTATGTATATCTGGTAATTTTGTGTGAACTCAGTCAATGTTGGCAGTTCATTCTAAAGAGAAGCAATATGAAGGAGAATTTTTTTTAATATTCCTGTTGACTGTTACCATATCAGTGATTGTTGATAATTGTACTTATAGCTTAACACAGTTTTTCATTTGCTGTATTTTAATTGTACAGAGGTATCCTGTAGTGATGTCCACATATCTTGGAGTTATGGGCCGGGTCCTACTACAAAATACTAGTTTTTTTTCTTCACTTCTTAATGAGATGGCACATAAATTTAATCAGGAGGTAAGAATTTTATGCAAACATTTATCCAAATATAAACTGAAAATAGTTGATGAAATAATGAGTCTTTATAATAAAGTTCTTTTGAAGTATTTAAATGTTTACATTTCTATCTTTTGGATATTTTTACCTGTTATTTGGGGTAAAAGAAAGAAAAAGAATTTAGTAAATTGCAATTTAAACTTTTACATTTTGATTTTGCTCAAAATAGGTGATTTTGTTCTGCTTAGCCATAGAACTTTCAGTTGTTTATAGTTACAGTCTTCCTTTACTGTTAAATAATCTGAAACAGAATTGTTTTGCATATATGTATATATTGTCTGTTTCATTCTTTCAACAAACTTGTTTTAATACCATGGATTGAGAAAGTTTCTGTCTTAAATATTATGAAAAATGGCCTTTTTAGTTAAGATTTATTAAACAATATCTTAACTGAAACCAACTACCAGGATAAAGATGTAGAGGATAGAGTGCATTTGATATCTCTAGAATTGAGACAATTTATGAAATATTTTGGTTTATCACTGAAACAAATATAACTAATTTCAGGAAATATATTCATAAAGGAAATACAAATTAGGAATTCCACCCAGCCTTTGTTGTTATGAATAGATAGTAAAGATTTTTTTCATTAATTTTTTTAATTGGATAGAGATAATATTACATAGTTATATAGTTAAAACAGTTTATATTCTTTTATGATTAATGGAGTATGTGTCCATATTGGATAGGATGCATATTGCAGACCTTGAAATCAAATTGGATACTTGCACCTTAATTTTCTCTTCTACTTAGATGTGAAGTTATCACAGAGAGGACTTTAGTGTTACAATTCTTGAGGTTACTAGTTCTTGAAGTATCTGACAGTTGAAAAAATAATTTAAAATATTTTTTTTAATTCACCGTGGCATTTCAGGGTACATAGCGCACAGTTTACACTAAAGTATAAATAATGGTATATACTAATATGGGTTTTCTTGATTATTATAAATATTTTGTCGAAGCATTTCTTGGAAAAAATGTAAGAACACTAAAATACAAAAGAATGAGACTATAAGGTTCATTTTACGAGATCAAAGCCATGAGGTAGAGATTCTGGTATTAAATATACATTTTTAAAGGTGCTAAAAGTGGAAAAACATATATAAGGAAACCCTGCCAGGATTCTCTTTAAATCTACATGATAGTGCACTTGATTACATGTTACTTTGTGAGTCTAATTAATTGTATCAGTGTGGGAGGCGGTTTGGGCTGGGGTTGTGGCTCAGTGCTAGAGCACTTGCCCAGCATGTGTGAGGCACTGGGTTTGATTCTCAGCACCACATATAAATAAATAAAACTTTTAAAACTTAAAAAAGACATTTATAATTGCAGGGGCTGACAAGTCTGATAAATAGAAACTGAAGCAGGATTTCTATGTTGCATTCTTGAGGCAGAATTTTTTTGGTTTTTTGTAAATAACTACATTTTTACTCTCAAGGCCTTCAACTAATTGGCTGAAGCCCACCCACATTATCTAGTATAGTCTCTTCATTGTAAGTCACCTCATTGTAAACCTTAATGACATCTACAGAATACCTTTTCAGCAAAAGCTAGTTTAGCCTTGGACCAAATAAATGAGCAACTTAGCCTAGCTGATTCATCACATAAAATTAATTACCACATGATTCTACATTATGTTATTTTCATTTAGAGAATAACTGTCCTAGGATATATTGTTTGTTTTCCTTTGAAATTCTGCAATTTTAGCTTACAACCTGCTTGTCCTTTCCTCTGAAAGTAGTAGCAAATCAGTCTGGCAAATTATAGAATGTTAATAATAATCATCCAACTGAATAAGTACCAGTTGATAATTTTGAGAAATATATGTACTTTTTAGTGTACTAGGAAGTATGTATTTATTGGTGATTTATTAAATTATTAAAGTCATCATTGGCCACATACAGATTTTTAATAAATCTCTTTAGCTCTCAGGATTTATTAGAGTCAATTTCTGGTTTTGCTAAATTATTCCTTTCCAGGTTAAGGCATACCCCAAAATCAGATATTGCAGTTCTGTGGTTTGCTATAATTGAACTTTAACTAAGATTTAGGAAGTTTTAGCCTTTAACAGTACTTATCCATGAGTAAATAGAATTTCAAATATTTTGAGATGCTGCCTTTTTTTTTTTTTCCTTTTCTTTTTTCAGATGGACCAGCTTTTAGGAAACATGATTGAAATGTGGGTTGATCGAATGGACAACATTACGCAGCCTGAAAGAAGAAAGCTTTCAGCTTTGGCTTTGCTTTCTCTTCTGCCATCTAATAATAGGTAAGAAAATGTTTTCTTAAAATTGTTTTTTTTAAAAAAAACATCAAATGTGAACTCAAATTTTCTGCCATCAATAGTGTCTTGTGTTTCTGGGCAGTATTGTTTTTATGAGTGTAGATGATAATTTTAGCAGTAGATAATGATGTGAAAAGTACTGATCTAGAAAGGAGAAAATGCAACACGTTTTTTTGTTCTTGTTTTGGCTTTTTTTTTTTTAATATTGGGGATTGAAGGAGGTGAGGGGGTGGGAGTTTAACCACTGAGCCACATTCCCAGCCCTTTTTATTGTTTTATTTTGAAATAGGGTCTGACTAAGTTGCTTGGGGTCTTGCTAAGTTGTGTGAGGCTGGCCTGGAACTTGTGATCCTCCTACCTCAGCTTCCTCGTTTCATGGGATTACAGGCGTGTGCCACCAATCTCAGCTGGAACATGTGTTTTTGAGCAATGTGGGCTCTAGGTTAAGTTGGTTATATTTATTTCCCAGTTCATTTCATCCTTGTATGAATTTCCATTTTTTATTAATGACCAGATTTAATTAGTCTTATTTTAGGTCCTCTTTTTACAGAGTTGTATTAAACATCTAGTACTTCAAAGTCACTTTATAAAGCAGGTTATAGAGTATGGTAATTCAAAAGTATTATTAAATAATTTTGTTGGCTTTTAATTTGTAATATCTAGAGAAGTTTACAAGTTGTTTTTTTTTTTTCTCCTTAAGTAGATGAAGTCATTATGCTATACTTACAGACATGGTAAAAATTCTCAATTGTATAAAGCAAATACAAAGTGTGTTGATTTGGACATATAAATAAGAATATTTATTGTCTTTGTGGTGTTTTGTTTTTGTGGTACTAGAGATTGCTTTATTCCCAACCGATATACACAGCCCTTTTTATATTTTTTTTTCTTTTTTTTAAAATTTTTATTTATTTTTTTTTAGTTATACATGACAGTAGAATGCATTTTGATATATAATACATACATGGAATGTACATACATCAATTATATTGTCTATTCTGCTGCCCTTCCTATCCTCCCTATTTATATTTTATTTTGATACATTGCTTTGCTCAGTTGCTGAGGCTGGCCTCAAACTTGGCAATCTTCTGCCTCAAACTCCCAAGTAGCTTGGATTATGGGCAGGTACCACTGAGCTCAGCTGATTATCTCCTTTTTAACAAAAACAAACAAGTGCTTAAAAATGTTAAGTAACATTTCCAAGGTAAGAGATCTAGCAAGCATAGGCCAAATCTGAACTGGGACATCTTAATTCCCAGACTTGTGCTTTTAACTACCAGTTGATATTGCATCCCAGGTGAGCATACACAAAACAAAAGCTTGCCTCCCTGTGAAATTCAGTGGTCTGATATAATTTTTGGAAACAAATTTAAGTGATCTCTATTTTAACTCATTACTGTTTCTCTTGGAAGGAAAAAATATCAACTTGAGAATTATTCAGGCTTTTTGTATTGAAATGTTACAGAATTCAGTCCTTGGCAGTAGTTAGTGCTCTGTAAAGGTTTGTTAAATAAAGTAATGAATGGAAAAATCCCTAAAGTTAATAAAGAGTTTTGTCTAGCATAAATAAAGTATTGAGATTATTAAGAAGAGGCTAGAAATGGCACAGATTAGGAGTTATAAAAATATATCTAATTTGATAAAAGGACGTTTGTTTTACATATTTCATGAGAATACTACTTGAGATATATGTTTATGTGAACACTATTCTTGTTACAACTTCTTTGTCACTTTCTGAGCATGATACCATCTTTTGTTTTTAATTGTTCAGTGAAGCTTCTAGTATCCTTTTTGTTGGAATAATTTCCAAATTTCTCTCCATTGTTTTAGGTCTTTTATTTATACATAGAGGGAGTAATCTTTTCTTCAGCTAATTTTCATATGAAAGTAATATACAGATTTTTATTTATATATGCCTTTGTTTAATGTTTTCTAAAGAATATTCCTTAAAAGGCATAAATTAAACAAAAGCTAATACTTACAGAAGAGAATGATAATACTCAAACTTTTTTATAAAAAAAATTGCTCTCTAAAATGGCAAATCATCCTTCAACTTCAAAAACACTTTCATATAATCGAGTTCTAAGAATTTCAAATGAAAGTGTTCTTTTTGAGACCAACTGCTCTAAGAACTTTTCTAGATTCAAGGAAGTCACCAATATTTAACATAAGGTAGTTGAATAATTCAAAAAGGATTTGCAAAAAATCAGCTGGATGTTTATATCTGATGGCTTGCTTGCAGGAGGAACTGCATCATAATCTTCTGGGTAGCAGATTTACCAAGCTTGCTTAGATTGGATACTCATTTTCCTCTATAATTCTCATATATCTTAAAAATAACATGTATTATCAGCATTTAGAAATGCATTATAACTTAAGGATTTTCAAAGTCATTTTGTATTTATAATTTTGAACACATTAGGTTAGTAGAATCAAAGTAAAAGTTATTTTCCAAAGAATAGCATTTTGGTATAATTTACAGTTAATTATGAACATGTTTTATGTGAATTTTATATCATTATGACCTTTCCTAAGTGAGTATTTAATATGCTAGAATTTTATTTTCATCTTTTCAAACAGTGAGTCTGTTGTAATATTTTATCTGTAAATCCTTAGTCTCAAGATTTTAGTACTTTTTCTACTGTACAAATTAGCTCTTATATTTTTGTATGTCTTTCTCACACACATGGACAGACACACCCAGAAGTCTTAGTAACATTTTATTTGGTAAATTCACCCACTTAAAATTAATCCAGTTTTTTTAGTATATTTACAGTTGCCCAATCATTGCCACAATTTATTCTTCACTCCAAAAAGAAATAATGTACCCTTTAGCAGTTACTTTTCATTTACTTATTTTCTCCAGCCCCTGGCAACCTCTAATTTACTTTCTGTTTATATAGATATGCCTATTCTGGACATTTCATATGAATGGGATCATATGATAGTGGTCTCTTAAGACTGGCTTCTTTGTCTTAGCATAATGTTTTCAAGGTTTATCCATATTGTAGCATGTATCATTGTTTTCTTTGATTGCTAAGTAATGTTCTGTTGGATAGATATATCACATTTTGTTCAACCATTCATCAAATGATGGACATTTGAGCTGTTTCTGTTTTAGGGCAGGTATTAATAATGCTATATGAACATTTGTACACAAGATTTTTTTTTTGTGTGTGTGTGTGTGTGTGTGTGTATAGATATGTGGTTTTAATTTCTCTTGGGTATTGATGATGATTGTGTTTATAATCTTTTGAAGAACTTCCAGATTGTTTTTCAAAGGGTCATTTTATAGTCCCACTAGCAATCTGTGAAGGTTTCATTTTCTCCATTCTGTGGCCAATACTTATTTTTTATTGTAACCTTGCTAGTGGGTATGAAGTAGTATTTCCTTGTCTTAGTTCATTTTCTGTCAGTATAACAAAATACCAAAGAATAGGGATTTCATAATGAATAGAGATTTGTTTAGCTTACAGTTTTATAGGCAGAAATTCCAAGATCTCGCACCCCCATCTGTTTGGCCTCTGGTGAAGACCTTGTGGCAGATGTCATCACAGTTGTGGAAGCATGTGCCAAAAAGACCACGTGATGAGATAAGAAGCCAGAAAGATTCAGGGGCCAGGTTTACTCTTTTTTGTTGTTGTTGTAATTATAGATGGACAGCATGCTTTATTTTGTTTATTTTTATGTGGTGCTAAGGATTGAAACCAGTGCCTCACAATTGCTAGGCAAGCATTCTGCCACTGAGCTATAGCCCCACCCCACCCCCAGGTTTACTCTTTTTTATAACAACTTGTTCTCATGGGAATTAACCAGGGTTCCTTAAGAAGTATGTTAATCTTTTCCAAGGGCAGCATCCTAATGATCACATTAGATCACACCTCTTTAAAACTTTTACCACTGTTTAGCATCACCCTACGAAGACCAGGTGTCCTACATGTGAACCTTTGGGGGAGACACACCATAACCAAACCTTAGCACTCAAGGTGGTAGAAACATCTTTTAAGTGATTCTGCTATATTATTACTCATCTTTGGGAAGTTTACTTGACACAGAGGCTTTTAATTGTTAGTTGATAGATTATTGTTTATTTATTGATTGTTTTGGGTGCCATGAAATCATAAGTATATGCCTCAGTGTTAAAAATCCTACTGTTCTTAAGTTTAAATCTTCCATCTTTTTTCAGCTATGATTCTGAATGAGCGTTATATCTGTTTCTTTGACTATACAATACATCTTTTATAGGATTTTAATTGGTATTGATAATTCATACTAACAATTCATAGAGGTTAGATTCTTTTGTTTATTGCTTTTATATAATCCATATTAAGAACTCAATGGATTTAGTTGCTTTTATTAATGTTACAGAAGCTATTGGTATTACTATATCATTTTGTACTGTAAGAAGGGAAATGCATGCATTTTCTATTTGTTTTATGTATTGATGGATTCTTCCAAAGGAAGTTTGTTTACTTAAAGTAGTACCCAGTGTTCTTTCTGCAGTATTAGACTGGCTTTGCTGCATGGCAGTGTCATTTTCATAGGGACACTGAAATACTCTGTATATGTCCTGGCAAATAGAATTCCTCTCCTGGATGTAGCAGTTATAAAGGTAGGAATAATCTGTTATTCTGTAGGAGTGGAATTTGTGGTATGTTACAGGTTTCTCTGTTCTGACCGAATTTTTCAGTGAAATCACTTCATGCGCAGACACAGATGCACTGTTTTCCTCCTGTGGTCATTTTGTGTAAAGTTTCCATTTAAGGATTATATTTGTAAGGATTCTGTATATTGATACTTGGAAAAGCCAAAAGACTAATACTGCACTCTCAAAAACTACCTTTGCAAATCTAAATTCTAGACATTTTAGGTCCAAGTATTTTAGTGTACCTCTGCCCCATTTCATTTTCATGGGTAAAGAAGAGAAGAAAGCAGAGAGGTTTGGTGGCAGAGACAACAAAGGAAATTTTACCTTATTATTCAGAAAGGATTCAAAAGATTTATGCCAGTGGTATTAAAGGATTAGTGGTAACTTTCAGATCTCTGTGGACCTTACTTTAATTGCTTTCGTGCTGTATTTATCAGAGTAGTTATAATGTTAAATGTAATTCTTTTGCAGTTCATTTTGGTTTTAATTTTCTATACCTTTGAAATACACAGCAGAACTACAATACTACCTGCTTCCTATTCTAATATCAACCCCAACATTCGAATATACCAAACATCAGTATGTTTTTGGTTGCTGTAGTATGCTGGATCATCGTGCTATGCATTAAGGACACATTTCACTTCACCTTTAGGATCGATTATTATTCAGTGTACTCTAGCATCTTAAGACAATTCTGTTGCTTTATTTATGTCTTCAGTCTACTGTCCTCACTACTTAGAAAATGCTTATGAATTTGGGGTACATTCTCAGTGCTTTCCTCACATCTAAAAGCAGTGCCTTTTAATAGATAATCTAAAAGATTATCTTTTAGATCCTCTCAAAGTCAGCTAATATTGCAATTTTTGATTGTTTTCTGTTATGTGTGGAATTTTTTCCTTAGGGATTTGATTAAAAACAAAGAATTTGGAATTGTTTATTTTAACGATGCTTGGATCTATGAAACAGGTGTAATAATTGTACCCTACCTCATGGGCTGCTATAAGAATTACAGAGATTATATAGTCATCTCGGTATCCCTGGGGGATTGGTACCAATAGTCCCCCAGATACCAAAATCCATAGATGCTCAAGTCCTAAACCTATATAAAATAGTGTAATATTTGCATGTGACCTATATACATCCTCTTGTGTACTTTAAGTCATTTCTAGGTTATTTATGATGATGAATATAATGTAACTGCTCTGTAAATAGTTGTTATGCTATATTGTTTAAGAAATAATGACAATGTAAAAAAGTCTTAACATGTTTGGTACAGATGCAAACATCATACCCTGACTATGTAGTACATATATGGTCATAAGGCAAATCATGCACAAATAGCAAGTGCTAGAGAGAAACTGAGGGCCTGTGAAATGGTGGGGGGCTATAGCAGAATGCCTACACATCATTTCATTCCTGTGAATTCAGCATGGTGCTTAGTGTGTGTCATATTCAAAAAAATTTTTGCTTAGCAGAATTTTCTGAAAAATTTTTTTTCTGAATGTTTTTATAATCTGTAGTTGGTTGAATCTATGAATACAGAACCCACAGACCAAAGAACCAAATATACCTGAAAAATATTGAGAACTCTTTTCAAGCCACAGAACAACTTAGTTGTTAAATTAACCTATGTCTGATCCAGCAGTAGCAAAAGGAATCAATCTTATATTCTCCTTATCTGATTTCTCTGCTCCATTAACTCTTTCTGACTGTATATTCCTTTTTCAGGTTGAGAGTTGTAGGATTTTATATGTGGAATTTTTCTGAATGTGTAGGAGGCTGTTTTATAATACACAGTAGAAATTTGTGATATGTATAAGGGATTGATTATTGATTACTGGCTTTGGAATGAAAAAGGCTGTTTGATGCTTTTTTTTTTTTTTTTTTTTTGCCTGCCAAAATAACAGAGATAAATGATTGCTTCTTTAGCAGATCCAAGTTGTATAGATACAAGATAAGCCAGGTATGAAAAAGTTAGCAGAATGGGTTTTAAGAATTTGTTACCAATTTCCAGTTACAAAAAGGCATATTTGTAGAATTCTTTTCCCACAGTTGTAAATCTGATCACTCTCAAGCCTGATAGATGTTATTGTTTGGAGCCCTGGAAGGCTTTGTAGTTGTTTGTAAATACTTCTGGCAAGTTTTTATTAGATGCTTTTTAGCACTAGCTATTAGACATTCAATATTGTCTTAGGTGTTATTTAGATTAACTTTTACTTGGTGATGAATTTTCCTTCCATATTATCTCTGGATGTTCATTCAGCTTCCATTTAGATACTTTGCTAACAGGAAGTTCATGGTCTATTGAGCAGCAGCCCATATCATTGTAGGGCTTCTCTTTAGCAATAGCTATTTGTTAGAGAAGGGTCATCCTCAAAATGCTGACGGATTCCCAGATCTTTTCTCTTTACTTCAATATGCTATTCCCTTTATTCAACATGACCTTCATTCATATAGCTTTATCCATTTCATAATACTGTCTTTTGAGACAAGAAAATAATCAATTTCACAAAGGTTATCCATAGTTTCTAGAGATTTACTCTGTCATGGACTTACTAAGTCATCTCTTAAACTTGTCAACATTTCCTTTTTTGTTCCTCCACTTCCCTCCCCATCCTTTTCTCTGTCACCGTCTCTTTCTCTCTTATTTAAAACTGTAAGGATCGTGATAAACTGGAAATTGGTAATATAGGCATAAATAAGAACCATTAATATGGAAAGTACATGCAGGAAAGGGCAATTCTAGTATAGTTCAGATCTGAAATTACAAACTCTCTCAGCAAAACTTAGATGATGGTGGATAATAGCACAGGTGGGAACACATAGTGTTAGAAACCCTCACCTCATGATCCGAAGCAAAAGAGAGAGGAAGTGACCAGCATACCATAGTCCCCTCCAATGACATGCCTTCAGTGACTTAAGACCTCCCACTAGATCCCACCTCTCAATAGCATTAAACTGGGGACTAATTTGTTAACCCAGGGCCCTTTGTAGATGATATATATTTAAAAGATGATAATAGGATAGTTCTTTTTTTATTTATTCAATCTCTTTCTTATAAGGGCAGAATCTAAATGGAAAAGAAATAAATGTGTATTGATACCTGAAGCATGAGACTGAAGACAAAAGTCTGTAAAAGATGGTTTAGTAGCAGGCATGAGAGCAAAACAATTCAATGGGTCGATTTCGTGGATGTAAATAGGGGGAAACCTGTTTAGGCAGGTAGTGTATGTATATCGGTAGGAATAAAAAGGGTTATGGGAAACCATTTTGATTTGCTAATTACAGAGCAAAATCAAAATATCAAAATTGAGATTGGAGAGTTTTATCACACAGTGGAAATCATATGAAGATTTAACAAAACATGTTAAAGAATTTAAAACTCATAAGACTGTGAATTGCTGTGAAATAATAATACACAGTCAAAGCTCAGGGAAATCTACCTTCCAGTAAGTGTGAGAGGAAATCAGTAAACTTGAGTACTAATCTAAAATTTAATTGGCCAGTTTTGCCACTATGATCATAGCAAGGAAAATGAGGAGGTCTCAAATTCCTTCATTTTTCTCTGTTGATTTCTGGTCTTCTTTAGTCATGATCACTTGTCTCTGAGAGCAGATGAATGAACTCCTAGATGAAGGAAGAGATAAACTTCGTTTTGCTGGATGTTGAAATTTTTAATAAATCAATCTGAAAGTTATTGTGTACTATTTAGACACAGTCACTGTGTTGCAATCACTTCAGTGTTTTTTCATTTTTTAGAACCTGAGAAATGCAAGATTTATTTTATTCTGTCTTTTCCTTTAATATAATTATCTAAAAATTATATGTGATATATATTACATATTTTATATGTATATATATACACACACATACATACATACATACACACACATACATACATACACACACATACATACAAACACACACACACACACACAAAGATCTGAGTGTTTTTTGTCTGCTTTGGAAACTTCTGGAGTAGAAGATGGAATTATTATTCTGATCTTAGTATTTTGTGGTTTTCCTCCTTTACATTTTATTTTTATTTTAATGGATCTTTTCTCTGATATTTTCCCTCTTCGAGGTATGTGATGCAATTAAAAATCCATGGACAATGCTTTCTTTATTCTACTTTGTATTTTACTGAAAATACTAAACAAAATGGACTTGAGAAACGTAGCCCCTGCCTCTAATTCATCTTTTCTGTTACTCGTTGTGTTGTTTTCATTTTTCTTTTTGGGGAGAGTACGGTGGGGGGAGAGTGGTACTGAGGGTGGAATTGAATCCTGGGATACTCTCCTACTAATCTACATCCCCAGCCCTTTTTAATTTTTTTATTTTTATTTTGAGATAAGGTCTTGGTAAATGATAATCCTCTTGCTTCGTCTTCTTGAGTAAATGGTATTACAGGTGTTTACCGCTGCATCCAGTGTTTTATAGTTTCTTTGTTAATAAAATAGCAGTAATAATAGCCAGACACAAAGGATAGTTGTGAGAATTGTAAATGATTTTGATTAAGATCTGTCATCCAGTATGTATCTCTGATTTTTTTGTAGTTACAGAAAGGTAGATCCCTGGGTATTGTATCAAATATTTAATATGAAAATAACTCATTATCTAAAGATTTAAATATCTGGTTGTAAAATGAAGCTGTTTTAATATCAAGAGAGCTACACTGATATTTTAAGTGTACTGTGACAGTATTTTGTTTTGTTTTTTCTGCTGTTGTGCATGCTAATCAAAGGATCTCCCACTAAACTACACCCCCATCCTGAAGAATATTAGTAATATTCATAAAAGTCAGAATTAGAAAACCTAAACAATCAGCTTTTTAAAAAAATTATAATTAAATCACATATAAACAATTTCTATTCAGTTCTGTAAATATATACTTTTTTTTTTTTAATGGTACTAGAGATTGACTTCAGGGGTGCTCTATCACTGAGCTACATATATCCCCAGTCTTATTTTGATCTTTATTTTGAGACAGGATCTTGCTAAGTTGCCCAGTCTTGCCTTGAACTTGAGAGACTCCTGACTCAGCCTTCAGAGTAGTTGGGAGTATAGGCGTGCATCACTGCACCCTGCTCAGGAGTATAAATCTTAACCTTAAAAGTTACATTAGAGACAGATTTATTTTGTTCTGAAAGATTCATACTAATTTAGATATATGTAAGGTGAAGTCCTTCACTCTTTCACACTGTGTCTTGTCTTGTGAATATAACCTATGTCAGTAATTTGGTATCCCTCTTGGAACCCATTGCATATGCCTTAATATATTAAGGTACTAATTGGCAGAGTGTTTTTTTGCACACAAAAATGTTTTGAAAAATTAGAAAAAGAGCACAGATATAATGTAACAGCACTCGTACTCACTATTCTAAGTTTTTGGTTTTACCTGTTAATTTTAAAGGATTAGGGCATAAAGTTGAAATCTTCAGTATGCTGAGTATTAAAAAATGTATACGTGTATAACTAATTGAAACAAATAAATAAAAGTACAAAAATATTTTACATATTTAAAAAAAATTCTAAGAATCATTACCGCATTTACTTCTTACTTCAACTTGTTTTTTCCACTAATGATTATCTGTTGTTGATAGCTGGAGCCTATTGGTATTTAGAATCTGAATATCTAAAGTTTGGCAAATCACCCTTTTTAAAAAAATTCTTATTTTTAAATTATGGGAGGATTTTACGTGTATACATTAGAAAAACTCTAAATGCATTCTGAAAAATAAGTTCCTGAGATTTCCTTTCAACAATACTTTTGAAACACAGATAAAATTACTTCCTGTCTCTCAGTTTCCTGTATCCATGGCAACCTCTGTTTTACACACTGACTGTAGAGGAACCAATGTTAAGAGTGGTGTTTCCTGAGCAAACTGTGACTTTTAAAAAAAAGTGGAGGGCTGGAGGTCAGCAATGGCACAGAAAGAAATGGAGTTTAGAAATGTCGCTCCTCAGATTTAAAAAGAACCGTTACTTGACTCAGCTGAGTGTTAATAATGTGAATTTCCTGTTCTTGGTAAGATTTACTTAAATATAAATATTTTTATTTAAATATTTATTTATTTAAATATAGCCTTTAGCTGAATGAAAGATAATTTAGTTTGTGAAAAATTGTACTTTAAAGAGTTTGTTCTATAATGTATTTTCATTATAATTTATTTGCTGTTGGACTTTAAATTTGATAAAGGGACATGTATTCAAGACTGTCTTCTCTACATCATTTGTCACCTTTGTTAGGATCAGTTGTATTATTTTACATTAACTCAGCAAACATTTTACAGTTCATTAAACTTGAATTATCATTTTGTCAAAAAGTAGGTTAATGGCTTGGAGGTGTTAATTATTCTAGAACATATTCTAAACATTTATGATTTTACACTGTCACCCATAGTAAGGTGTGATATATTGGTGGTTGATCCTAATTAGAGTACAAAAGTTTTAGTATTACAAAACTTTTATTTTAAGAACTCTGATGATTTACAGTTTCACCTTCTCTTTTTATAGCCAATTCTGATATGAACAGAAAAATCAAGAACAGGGCTATGTGTGGATTACAGTTTTCTCTGCCTTGCCTACAACTATTTCTGCTTGTTACCTGTTATCTTGTATTATTATTTTGTAAAGAGATACTTGGATGTTCATCTGTTTGTCGGCTCTGCACTGGGAGACAAATAAACTGCCGTAACTTAGGCCTTTCAAGTATTCCTAAGAATTTTCCTGAAAGTACAGCTTTTCTGTATCTGACTGGAAATAATATATCTCATATAAGAGAAAGTGAGTTAACAGGACTTCATTCTCTTGTAGCATTGTATTTGGATAATTCTAGCATTCTGTATGTGTATCCAAAAGCCTTTGTTCAATTGGGAAGTCTTTGTTTTCTATATCTAAATAATAATTTAATAAAACACTTAGATCCAGGAATATTTAAGGGACTTTCAAATCTTCGTAGTTTACATTTACAGTCTAATCAAGTATCTTTTGTTCCTAGAGGAGTGTTTAATGATCTTATTTCAGTTCAGTATTTAAATCTACAGAGGAATCACCTCACTGTCCTCGGGAGTGCTACCTTTGTTGGGATGGCTGCTCTGCGGATACTTCACTTATCAAACAATAAAATAGTGAGGATATCAGATTCAGGCTTTCAACATCTTGGAAACCTTGATTGTTTATATCTAGAAAGTAATAATTTAACGAAAGTACCATCAAATGCTTTTGAAATACTTAAGAGTCTTAAAAGACTTTCTTTGTCTCATAACCCCATTGAAGCAATACAGCCCTTTGCATTTAAAGGACTTAACAACTTGGAATATCTCCTCCTGAAAAATTCAAGCATTAAAAATGTTGCTAGGAATGGGTTTAATGGAATTAATAATCTTAAATATTTGATCTTAAGTCATAATTATTTACAAAATTTAAATTCTGGCACATTTAGCTTGTTAAAGAATTTAATTTATCTTAAGTTAGATAGAAACAGATTAATCAGCATTGATAATGATACATTTGAAAACATGGGAGCATCTTTGAAGATCCTTAATCTGTCATTTAATAATCTTACAGACATACATCCAAGGGTCTTTATGCCATTGTCTTCACTGACTCATCTTCAGGCAAATTCTAATCCTTGGGAATGTAACTGCACACTTTTGGGCCTTCGAGACTGGCTAGCATCTTCCTCCATTACCCTAAACATCTATTGTCAGAATCCCCCATCCATGCGTGGCAGAGCATTGCGTTACATTAAATGGACTGACATTACAAATTGCATTCCGTCTTCAACAAATGTATCCAGACTTTGGGCTGTAAAACCTCTTCATGTTCATCACAAGACCACTGCATTAATGATGGCCTGGCATAAAGTATCCACAAATGGGAAACATTTGGAAAACATTGAGACTGAGAGCGTTACTTTCTGGGAACGAATTCGTACTTCACCTGCCAATAGGTTTTTTCAAGAAAATACCTTTGCTAATCCTTTAGAGACCACTGCAGTGCTGCCTGTGCAAATACAACTTACTTCTTCTGTTAACTTGAACTTGGAACAAAACAGTGCTCTACAGATTGATACTGCTTCAGTGTCAGGAAAGACATCTCTAATTTGTACCCAAGAAGTTGAGAAGTTGAATGAGGCTTTTGACATTCTGCTAACTTTTTTTATCTTAGCTTGTGTTTTAATCATTTTTTTGATCTACAAAGTTGTTCAATTTAAACAAAAACTAAAGGCACCAGAAAATTCAGAGGAAAATAGACTTGAATATTATAGCTTTTATCAGTCAGCAAGGTATAATGTAAGTGCCCCAGTTTGTAATACCTCCCCCAATTCTCCAGAAAGCCCTGCTTTAGAGCAGATTCAACTTCATAAACAAATTGTTCCTGAAAGTGAGGCACAGGTCATTCTCTTTGAACATTCTACTTTATAACTCAGCTAAATTTTGGCAATAAGAAAATGACAGTGTCACATGGGGGCTGGGATTGTGGCTCAGTGGTAGAGCGCTCGCCTAGCACATGCGAGGCCCTGGGTTCGATCCTCAGCACCACATATAAATAAAATAAAGATATTGTGTCTGACTACAACTAAGAAATAAATATTTAAAAAAATAAAAAAAAATCCGAACTCTTTATAGAATTATATGCTTTATTTGGAAATATCATGAATTATATGAGTTTAGTGTTATTAAAATATATGATTTTAATCATTGTGAATAGTGTATTTATTCAGCAGATATTTTCTTTGATAGATACTGTACAAAGTAATGTTAGTAGCTGACATTTCTGTGCACCAAGCACTATGTTAACTACTTCACATACTGTGTTTACGCTATAAACAATCTTAGAAAGTTATACTGTCCATATTGCAGGTAAGGAAACAATAGGCAGAGAGAGTTTAAGTAATTGTTCCAGGCTTTCACAGTTTGTGATACTCTTTCAGTCTGACTATAGCTGATGTTTTTAATTTCATACTATATTGCTGCGTAGGTGCTAGGATTATAATTATGAAAAAAAAGCAACATGGTTTCTATTCCTGGTAGAGCTTGAAATCTAGAGAATGTGAATAGTGGTCTGGGGTGGTGACTCAGTGGTAGAGCACCTGCCTAGCATGTGTGAGGCACTGGATTCGATTCTCAGCACCACTTATAAATAAATAAAATAATTTTATAATTTTATAAATAAAATAATTGTCTATTGACAATTTAAAAAGCTATTTTTTTAAAAAAGGAAATGTGCATAGTTATTGTATAATATGGTAAGTATTGTACTTGAAGAATGTTATTAGTTTTAATATGTGAAGATTAGAGATGGCTTTTTGAGAAACGCATCAACAAAACTGGATCATGAGCTAGATGTAGTGTCACACACCTGTAATCTCAGTGGCTTGGGAGGCTGAGACAGAGGGAATGCAAGGTCAAAGCCAGCCTCAACAAAAGTGAGGCGCCAAATAAAATACAAAATAGGGCTGGAGATGTGGCTCAGTGGTCAAGTTCCCCGAGTTCAATCTCTGGTACCAAAACAAACAAAAAAACTCCCAAAAAACTGGATCATGAAGAATAAATAGAAATTAGGTGAGTAAAGAGAGCTAAATAACACTGAGTCTGAAGTAAAGAAAGAGGAAGAATGGTGCTTTTAAGGAACTAAAATTCAGTACAGTTAGAGTTGAATGCATGGAGGATAAGATCTGTGGGGGAGAGAGATCAAATGATACAGGCTATTTTAATATTTTATTCTGAGGTCAATTGGGAGCCATTGAGCATTTTAAACAGTGAAGACAGAATCTAAATCATTAATCCGGGGTAAAGGTGCTGGAGGCCTAGATCAATATAGTGGCAGCAAGGATGGATAGATAGATGGAGAACTTTGGATGTGAAATAATCTGCCTTGGCAATTATTGAGAGTGGTGGATGAGGGAAAAGCCAAAGCTGTTAGACATTTGGCTTAGGCTATTTTTTGCTCCTTTCACTGAGCTAAGGAAACAAGGGCAATGAAGATACAGGTGGAACAAGATAATTAGTTGTAGATAGATTAGGTTCATATTAAATGGCTAAGTGGAAATATCTAGCAAGCAGAAGTTCAGGATATAGGTATATTTGGTAAAGGCTAGTAGTGAAAGGAAATGATACACGCTTTACAGTAACCACAACCACTTAGACCATGATTTTGAGAGACAGGTAAGTGGGGAAAAATAAGGCTTTGTAGAATAAAGAGTTCCCAGGAACATTAGCCCCAATTGAGAATCTTTAATGTAGATGGTAATTGAAGTCATTCACTTAATGTAATCTTTTTCTCTGTTAGCATAATTTATACTTATGTAGTACTCTGTGGTATATTAAGCATATAGTAAGTGCCCACATTTACTAATAGTGATCTGAATGACAAATAGGCACTTACAAAATTTCTTCTTAAGCATATCTTAAATGACTGTTGTTCTTTTTTTGTCCAATTTTTATTTTTTGTTATTAAAAGTTAATACCATCCATATGAAATCAGTCTGAATCTAGAAGTGCCTAAACTAAGTGATGATTTTAGTTTATATTGTGAAATGGAAATAATTATAAGAAGGTGGGTGTTTTGTTGTCCAATGTACCTGAAGACATTGGCTCTCAACATCACCCTTAAGCCTTGTTAAAGCATAGTTTACTACTTGCCGCACCCTGGCCCCTTCCAGAGTTCCTGTTTTGGTAGGTGTAGAGTGGGCATGTGAGATTGCAATTTAACAAGTTTTTTGATGTTGCTAGTCTGAGGACCAGTTGTTGAGAGCCACTGCATTAAGATATTCAGAGAAAAACAGAAGCTGAGTGATGGTTTTCAGGTGCATTAGAAATTGGAAACACTGACCATCTCTGACTCCAGAATATTTTCAAAACATTGTTGTGCTGTTCTCTCCCTAACTTACAGCTTTGCCCTTATTTGTAATTTCAGCAGAAAATGTAAATTTATTTTAAATCTTTTTGTTTGTTTGTATCTTTGTAAAAGAAAGTGATTTTTAAATTTCAGCTTGAAAACTATTTTTTAATGATATATTTCTTTTCTTTGTTATATTCTCCCAGCTCCTACAATTCCAATTTTTTTCTCCATTACTAGTGATAGAAACCAGGGTGCAATACCACTGAACTACATCCCAAGCCCTGTTTACTTTTTATTGAGACAGGGTCTCACTAAGTTGCTGAGGCAATCCTCCTGCCTCTGTCTCCTGAGTTGCTGGGATTGCAGGTGTGTACCACTGCACCTAACTTATTTTTCATTTAATTACTAAAAGTGATGTTTATTGGGAACAAATTCAAATAATACCAAAGCATATAAAGTGAAAGGTAAAAACCCTCTCTGTGCCCCCCCCATTCCTTATTACTTAAATCATATCCTCTTATTAAAGATGTTCAGGAACAACATAGCTGGCTATTTGATGTCAGGGAAAATCCATATAACAAAGTATTTATCTTGATCTTAAAATTTTCAAATTAAAGAGGGTTATTCAGTAAATTTATCCATTTTTGTTTTTTATATATAGCATTTAATTTAAACTAAGCTAAAAAACTGTAATTGTATTAATAATAATTTATATGTGGAGCTGTAATTATACCCAGTGATATTCATTCAATGTTCATTTCATATTTTGACAGCACGTAATCTCTTTCTAAAATAGTAGCTAGTTCACATTTTACCATTGTTTGATATTTTCAGTTTAAAAATTGAAGAGGTAGTTGAAGTTATTTGTGGAATTTTTGTGTTATGATTTCTGTATTTTACTGCTTCAAGATTTGAGCAGCTATGCCAGGTTTGGTGGCACATGCCTGTAATCCAAGCGATTCAGGAGGATGAAGCAGAAGAATTGCAAGTCCAAAGTCAGCCTTAGCACTTTAGTGAGTCCCTGTCTCCAAATAAAAAGGGCTGGGGGTGTGGCTCAATGGTTGAGTGTCCCTGGATTCAATCCCTGGTTAAAAAAAAAAAAAAAAATCAGCTAAGTTAAAACCAAATAAGAATCTAAATTAATATAGTTAGAGAAGCTTACCCTTCTTGGCTGGTGTGGTGGTCCATGTCTGTAATCCCAGTGACTAGGGAGCCTAAGGCAGGAGAATAGCAAGTTTGAGCCCAGCCTTGGCAACTTGGCAGGAGACCCTGTCTCAAAGTAAAAGGGCTAGGGCTACAGCTCAATGGTAGAGCACTGCTGGATTCAACCCCTGTTCTGGGGGGAATGTAGGCAAAAAAGCTTACTCCTCTTTAGATGTCTGTATTTCTCTACCATTTATTACAAGTTCTTATCTCTACCACCTATTTATTTAAATTAGAGCTTCCAGGAATATACAGGCTGTAATTTCAAGTGATTTTATTTCAGTCTGAGGAACAATTACATATGCCTGTAATCCCAGCAGATCAGGGGGCTGAGGCAGGAGGATCTCTAGTTCTAGGCCAGCTTCAGCAACTTATAAATGTAAAAATGTCTCAAAAGTAAAAATGGGCTGAGGATGTGGCTCAATGGTTGTGTAATTTTTGGTTGTGTAATTTCCACCCCTGGGTTCAATCCCTGGTACCAAGTAAATAAATAAACAAACAAAATAATTGTGTTTCAAAAGGATTTTTTAAAATACAGAATACATTTTTCCCATTGATTATTATAAATGGTGGTAAAAATTTCAGGCAGTCTTTTTCCCATGTAACAAATGACAAGGATAGAACTCACTGCCATTTATTTACAGCACAAATTAAAATGTGTGTAGTAACATAATTTTGTGTGGAATTTCAAAAAACCATCTTTTACTTCTGGAGTAACTGAGAACTTGTAACATCTTCCTGTCAGAACCATTTGGCAATAATTGTTGGTGAGGGCTTCAGTGGTGTGAGATAGGAACTTCAACAGGAATGACCAAGAAATAGAAGATGATCACAGGTGATGGAGGGAAAGAAGACCAGGGTATCTCATGGTCTTCTGATTGCCAGTGTTTGATAGCTGAAGACTAGGTGGTGGAGAGAGGTAAGGGGAGACACTGTGAGAGAGTGAGGAAATTGTGTAGAATTTACAGGGAAAGAGATTGTATGTGTACCTCTTTGTTGTACCTAACTTTTCACTCAGAGTTCTGAACTTTCTTATTTATATTTAAAGTTTCAAGTTACTTGATGATTAATACTGCCTTATAGCCATCTGGGTCTTTTAAATCTATAATTGATTTTTATTCTTTTTCCTGTTGCCCTGTATTTTTGGTTTGGGGGAATCCTCCCAGTACTAGAAGTAGTAGTAATAGAATAGAGAAATAACTTTTTAACTTCCGTAAGTCCCATTTAGAAACAGATACACCTGTGTAGCCACCACTCAAGTCCAAGAGATAAACATTCAATATAACATAGAAGTAGACATTTCTTGAGCTTATGAGTTACATATATAAACTTCTAAATACTTACGTTTTGAAGTAAAGGTGGACCAACATGTGAGTAGGAAGAACATTTTTACTCAACCACACAGCAACAAATAACAGGAAGATCTTTTATATGTCTTTATTATGCAAATATGGGAGAAGAAAACTTAGGGGGCCTTTTTTCTTAGGGGGTGGGGTGGAGACCAGCGATTGAACTAAAGAACCACTTAGCCATTGAACCACATCCCCCCATCCCCATTTTGAGACAAGGTCTC